AAGCCGCCCTGAGTCCCCTCAGGGAAAAGGGCGGCATATAAATTTCCAATAAAATCCTAAAAAAAAAAAATCCTAAAATCTAAATCTAAATGAGCACACAAAGGACAAGTTGGTAAATGAGTCCTTTGGGTTGCTTGGGGAAAACATGTAACTGCTTTTGATAACACCTAAAAGGAATTGTATATCAACACATCCTGAGGTTGGAACCATATTTTATTAGTTTCAAGTTCAGAATTTAAAGAATGGTTAACAGGAAACCTTTCTTTTAATGGACTATTATAGGGAAAGGGATGCCCATTGAAGAATAATTTCCATTAAAAATGAATGGGATGTTATCAGAGGTGGGTTCCTACAAGTTCAGACCGCTTCAGCCAAACTGGTAGTGGTTTGGCAGCCTGGGTCGTGTGTAGGGGGGGGCACGGACCATTTGGTGCTGTAGAAGCAGTGGCGGTGTGGAAAGCAAAGCTTCTTTGTCAGCCTCCCAACTGGCAAAACAGAAACTTTCATCAGTTCGGTGGCCGTGGATGGGGGGGGGGCATGTGACTGAGTGTGCATGTATGTGAGTGATGTCAAGTTGGCCACGTGCACTCAGCCACATCCCCCCCCCCCACCTACCCACGCCCACCAAACTGCTAGTAAAATTTTTTGAAACCCATCCCTGGGTATTATACATATTTATTTTATTTGTTTTACATATTTTAAGCTTGTGTGAAATGGGAATGGGACTTAGCATATATTATGGATATGTATTTTATGCATATTTTCATATTTGTATGAGAGCCATGGTGGTGCAGTAGTTAGAATGCAGTACTGCAGGATACTTCTGCTGACTGTCGGCTGCCTGCAATTTGGCAGTTCGAATCTCACCAGGCTCAAGGTTGACTCAGCCTTCCATCCTTCCGAGGTGGGTAAAATGAGGACCCAGATTGCTGGGGGTGCAATATGTTGACTCTGTAAACCACTTAGAGAGGGCTGCAAAGCACTGTGAAGTGATATATAAGTCTGTGTTATTCCTAATGTGTCTTAAATCAGCTAACCAAAATCCGTTAAATCCAGAAGAGTCAAGATAGTGGCAGCCACAACAACACAATCCTTCCCACCAGTAAAAGAGAATGGCGTTTCAACTGCATGGTTGAGACCATCATCTTGGTGTTTTTTCTTTTGTTGTTTTTACTTTTTACTTCCTCCCCTCCGGCTCCCCTGGTTAAATTGAATGTTCATTGTAGTTGACCATAAAGATAACCAAACAGGGATTACCGTTATCACATTGAAACTTATTTCCACAGTTCACTTCCTCTACGTTGCATAATTTTTCTGGAAAACAGGGCCGGTCATCCACCATTGGCCCACAAGAATCCTGACCTCCAAATTGAGATGGTTGTAGCAGAGACTTGACACGGAACTAAAAGGCGAAATCGATGCATGGGAAGCAAACAAGAAGAACAAATTTTCTTAATGGGGGTTTCACAGTTGCTTACCTCATCTAAAATTTCAGCTGCAGAGAGACTTTTTTTTTTTCTGCTAGCAGGTCATACGAAGGTAGAACCTGGTACTTGATGCAGGAGATAGAACTAGGACTTGGAGTTTTGTGTATCTTAAAAAACTATGGTCCCTCTGCATCCATATTTCTGAATTCATGCTGAAAACAAAGGCAACTATGCTCCTTCTCATTCAGGGGTGGCCTGCTGCGAGGTCGCAGAGGTTCGGGACAACCTCTGGCTTAGATTCTGTGCAGTTTGGAGAACCCTCAAATCCCACTCCCGGCTGGCCCCGTCCACCCCACTCCTCCCAGGAGTCCCCATGTGGCCTGTTTTAGATGCAGATAAGTGCAGGGTGTGCGCAGAGGCTTGGGGAGTGCAAAAAACTGCCCCGCCCCAGAACTCCAGAAATGGTCCCATTTCTGGCCTCCAGTGCCTCTGGAGCCTGGGGAGGCCGTTTTCGCCCTTCCAAAGACTCAACGAAAGCCTCTGGAGCCTGGG